CTCTCTTCTTTTGGCCCGAGGATTAGGCTTAGCCGAACCTCGTTAAATCCTTGTGTTGATTTTTCTTCTCTATTTACTTTGTGTGAGATTGTGTGCTAGTTACCCACGATATTCCGCAACATATGATTCTATTCTACAAAATAATCAACGAATGCATTTTCATTGTGTGGCTAAGAAATTAAAACGTTTAGACATAAAAATGTGTAATACTCGAAACGTAATATCGCCTAACTTGTGATTCCAGAATATTTAGTTTCAATTTTTACTCCTATATAATGTCAAAACATTATTCATGACCTTGCTTGTATGATATATTATATTTTTATTTATTTTAAGTAAATAATTTCGTACTGTGTACGTATTCCATAGTATATGCAATTAAAAGTTTATTACTATCAAGTGTATTTCTCGTGCAACGCACGAACGTAGAGACTAGTACTATATTAAAAGTACGAAGGCCCTTAGCGAAATGTCGTTTGCCTTTTTTACCCTTTAAAAACATATTACATATTGGATAAAATAGTAATTTAAGTTATTTTCCTAATATTTAGGATTTCAATATTAATTATATTTTGCATATCAAATACTTCCTTATTTGAACTAGGTATGAATCCTAATTTTTAGGATTCAAAATAAGGTACTAAATTTTATCTTAATAAGACCGTTAAAGGAAAGAAAAACCACCAACATATTTTTAGCACGTTTATTTTCCCATACCTTTCATTAATAAGAGATATTGTGCCTATAACTTGAATTGTAAAAATTCAATAAAATACTATTAATGAATTCATGTTTACCTAGAAAAAACTAAGAGATTTAAAACTAACATTTTTTACTATTTCAAACATGATCTTTATCAACAAAAAGGAGAATATGAAGTCCCTCCAAATTTATGTTAATTATTATAAGAAATACTTCATTTAATAAGTCATTTAATTATTTTTCTAATTTTAGATATTTGAAATTAATAAAACTTAAGATTTTACTTTATATAAATCATACCCTAAATTATGTATAAATAATAAACAGAATAAATACAAGAAAGAATAAAAAGATTGAAGAAAGAGGACGTAAGTGATTTGAAATCCTTCTACAAGTCTTGAAGATGTAAGTAGGATAAAAACTACTTCTAATACCTCATCAATACTGATGTGATCCATTTTCTAATAAGTTATTTACGTTTGATTTATATGAGTTTTTAAATATTACGATAATTTAAATATACAAGACTATGACACTAATAATATTATTCGATATTACATTTTGAGTTTCAAAAGAACTATTATTATTATTATTATTATTATTATTATTATTATTATTATTATTATTATTATTATTATTATGCGAAATATTGAGCACAAATCAATAATAAACACAAAATTTATCAATTATTAGAACAAGATAAGTTATGGGATTTTTTTATTTTTAATTAATGATACATTTAGCTAAATATAAATGGCTTTCTTAGCTACAAAAATTAATTGTGGTTTCTAAAAGGACATTCAAATCTTAAATTTTATTGAGAAATTTTCAAAAAGCACTATCTTTTAGTGGTAATTAGCTATCTATAGATACCATTTGCTATATTACGGATTGTAGATACTTTTTCTATTGTTATAAGATGTATTTGATGCATTTAAGTTAATGTATTCATGAATACAGTAACAAAAATAGACGTGAATCGGGGAAATCCAGCTAATCAGTTGTTGTATTCGACTGTATTCATAGCGTGAAACATGAGATTACAGTTGGACAGATTATTGTATTCGACTGTATTCATAGCGTGAAACATGAGATTACAGTTGGACAGATTATTGTATTCGACTGTATTCATAGCGTGAAACATGAGATTACAGTTGGACAGATTATTGTATTCGACTGTATTCATAGCGTGAAACATGAGATTACAGTTGGACAGATTATTGTATTCGACTGTATTCATAGCGTGAAACATGAGATTACAGTTGGACAGATTATTGTATTCGACTGTATTCACGGCGTGAAACAGGGGATTACACTATTTTTAAACGGAAAGTGAATCAATTAACATAATAGACTCATAATATAACGCAACAAACTCATTTATAACACACAAAATTTGTATTCCCAGTTATAAAAAAATATTCTCAACCGAAAAATACCCCAAAAGTATAGCAATCTCCAGAAAAATTATATATTACATCTGAATACATAAATTATATTAATTAAAAAAACATATGAATACATTGATGGCATATAGCGAGACAGTGAATACAATGAAATACATAGAATACAACGGAATACATTGAAATACAATGAAAAAAAAGATAGTGAATACAATGAAATACATGGAATACAACGACATACATTGAATTACAATGAAGAAAAAGACAATGAATTCAATGAAATACATGAAAATACAGCGTGATACGTTGAAAATACATTGAAATATATTAACAGAAAATCAAGTTGCTCGGCCCCAAACTCCGTCATCTTTGTTCAAGAACAAACCCTAATTTCCGACGAATCCGCCGTCGAGCAAAAACCCTCAACTCTTTCGCCTTTCTCTCTCTTTCTCTTCACCGAATATCCCTGTAACTCATTAGAACAAATTAAAAGAATGGAAAAACCCTAGGATTGACCGAGTTGGGCAAAATTGATCTACTAGAACTCGTGTAAACCCTAGCTTGACCGAGGTGAACGGCAGAAGTGGCGGCGGAAGGAGGAGGAAGGTGGGAAGAGGTGGTGCGGCCGAGAGAAGTGAATTAGATTGAGCATGTGTTTTCAGGGAATGGGGGATGGGGGAAGAGAATGGCATGTATCAAAGTAGAGAGAGAAAGAAAATAGTGTAACTGAATAGCGTATTTAGTGGCTAAAGGGTAGGAGGTAACCAAAATTAGATATTTTGCTATAAACATTAAAAGGTATCTATAGAATATAATTTTTTTTAAATGGTATTTATTTAAAATAAATAAGGTGTTGACCTTTGCTACAGGAGGTAAAAATTCCAATTCCAATTTTATTTATGATATACAGTGATTCTTAGTTCTTTGAAATTTACAAAGATTTCTCTTTTGCTTTCCTTTTTTGTTTTGGAACACGTCTAGCATGGATGATTTTCCACCCCATTCAATTGTTTACAATTTGAAAAAATTATTGAATGAAAATATAATTATAATTAAATATTTTGAATTTGGTATGAACTAATCTTAAGAATTTGAATAAATAAAAACTAATTATTTCTTATAAATATTAAGAACGAAGCATTTGAATTAATTAATTGAAAAATATTCCAATTATATTATTTTTCAAATTTATCATAAAAGTAAAATTATTTTCAAGTTAAAACAAATTTTGGAGTACATAAATTTATTTTCATAAAAAGACCACTGGTGATAAAATCGGAAATAGAGCAAAATCGATTACCGTAAAAATTCAAACTTGAGAAATGAGAATGAAATAGTAGAAAACAAAATATATTCAAAATGANATATTGTAAAATATTCACACAACATTAGTTAGGTTAATTTGACGAATGTTTGAAAAATTGTGATAAAAGTATATAATAAATATCTGATCATTGTATATTTAGTATTATACAACAGAAATGACTAAAACTTTTGTTACATTTTTCCAAAGATTATGCCCTCCTTACATATCCTCCAACATAAAATGTTGATTGAACATTTTCCGCTTTAAAAATAAATTTTATATCGAACAAAATTAATAATTTTTCTAATATTTAGAATTATGGAGTTAACCATTACTGGAATTATTTGAATACTAATTCCGCTGATTGTGACATTAAAACCAAAGTATACACTTTTAATTCTAATTCTAAACTATTCTTTGAAGTAAATATGTCACGAATGATCATCTTTCAATTGTAAATTCTCTCACAAGCTTGCTTTCGTATCCTTTTAAATGTGTTTATTTTTTTTATTGCTCTTGAATGTGATTTTGTGATCTGATGAAAGTTATAAATTATTAGCTGCATGATTATATGTTTTAAGTTCTATCATTCGACACTATTTAGGCTTTCAAGGACTTGTTCTTGTTGAAACTGAAAAGGAAGCATGATAACTTGTAAAATTGAAGTTACAAAGTTATGAAACTGGAACAAAAATTAAGTTGAATTATGAACTAATAATTGAGAATTTTATGAGGCCTTTTTTATTTATTGAGTTAGTTATACCCAATCAATATTTATGATCATCTTCATAAACTTATGTTTTTATTTGACCACTACGTCGTGCACCTATTCCCTCAAGGAAATATAACTTTGTTTAATGACAATAATCACCCTCATAGCGTTCCCTAATTTTGAGGGGGGTTTTTTTATATATATATATATATTTGGGGGTGGGG